AAATTAGAAAAACATAAAAGCCACACTAAATAAAATATATCCGCTTCTAGGAACTAAAGGCAATGAATATGAAACAATACAAACGAATGAACAATGATAGAATGTTGAGGGAAAAGACGAAGTTCTATTATCTTAATTGAACGATAACAAAATTATTTAAAATAATGTAGACTCAACAGTTGAAAGCTTATTGTGGCCCAGGCGGCTACCCAATCCGTTTGGAAACCTAAGATACAAGCAGACAATAAACACCACTTGAACACTGAAAAAATGATATAAGCCCAGTGTAATATTTGGTGACACACTAGCCCTTTCAAGGGGCATTCCCTGAGGACATTCCAGAGAAAAGTTATGGAATCGTAATTAGACAAAGATCTATATACTTCACTGTGCTGTGGGAAGAGCGCTGACCTCCGAAAAGTTTCAGCCCCGGAACCGCTAACCAGACAACTGTGCGAACTGAGCGGGGCACTTAGTCCAACCTATCTAGGCCTCAGTTTCCTCATCTGTACAATAAAAGAATGTAGCATAATCGCTCGGGTCCTTCCAACTCTAACATTCTATGACCCACTTTTGGCACTATTTATTTAATGCAAGATATGACGGGATCACAGGAAACAAGAAGAAAAAGAAGTGGGCATAGCTCTTTGGTAAAGAGAAAATCCGTTATCTCTTTTAGCCTTTAAAATTCTTGTGGTTTTGATTAATTCCACCTTCCTAAAAGCTGACACTTGTTTGCTCCTGTGCCTTTTCCATCACTGCTGGCTACAAGTGTTTGCAAACGCCTCTTGCTCCATGCAAGTCCTGTCCTCTTTGGTCACCCTGACCATCTTTGCCAGATCCTTTAGCCTCAGACCAGCTCTGTGATACGACTCCCCTTCGACTCTCCATATCTACCCTCGACACCAGGAGCAGTTTTTTACTCTTTACCCCTGGCTTAAAAAAACACCACCACCACCGCATCCCACTGCCACACGTACAAGCCCAGGCCTGGCGGGTCCTGATGTGGGGTCCCGCCCCCCGGAGCCTTATCAAAATGTTCGTATTTGTTGTCTTGACTCCTTATAAGGCACTGTTTCTTGAAGCTTTGCTAATACCCCCCACAGCACCGGGCACCCCCAGGCTCATCTCATCCCCGGGAGTAACAGGCACCTCTTTTTTAAAAAAGAAAAAAAAGCAGTGAGACGACAGGGGCTATTCGGAACGGCAACATGAAGGTGTGAGGTGGCGGACAGCAGCCCCCTTCGCTCTTAGGGGCTCGGCATGGGGGTCCTCACACACCCACCCAGACACACGGGCACGCAGCCTTTATACTGCACACCCTCCACCCGCCGCAGCGTCCGCCCGATCCCCCTCGCGCGCCCCAACACGGTCCCCCGCCTCGTCTGCAGCCCGCCCCGACTCCCCTCTCCCCCGGCGGACCCCTCACCCAGCGCGCAGCCACTGCGGCCGCCTCGCCGCCCGGGGAGCGATGGCGGCGGCGCGGCCCTGCCGGGCGTCTCGGCGGCTGGAGAGCGGGGCCCCGCCCGGGCTGGCTCCCCGGCCTCGCTGCCCCGGCCCCGGGCCCAGGGCTCGCCCCGCGGCTCCTACCTCGCTCAGCCCCTCGGGCGCCAGCGGCTGCTCCGGCCCCGCTCTCTGGCTCGCCCTCCCGCTCGCTCCCTCCCTCGGCCGGGCCCCCGCGCGTAGTAGGCTGCGCTCGGTCCCCGCCCGGGGTGACGGCTCCGGCCGCCGACTCTCCTCCCGCCGGGGCCCACGGGGGCGCGCGCGCCGCTAGCGCGCGGAGGCCCGGGGACGCGCGCCGCCCGCAGCCCCGAGCGCGCCCCACGCCGGCGCGCGCCGCTTCCTGGTTCCGCCCCGCGCGCGCTCGCGAGCTCCGTGGTCCCTCGCGCCCCCTGCGCGGCAGCCCTGGAGGGACCAGGAACCCTCTCGGCGCGCTCGGCGGGGCCGGCGCGGCACGCACCTTCTTTCCGCGGAGGTGGGCTGGCTTTCCCGCTCGCCTCCCCGGCCGGGCCCCCCGGGCCGCCGGCGCATGCTGCTGTGTTTGGGTAGGGGCGACCACCACCGGCGGGCGCGGGCCTTGATGATTGGCCCTCCTCCGCGGCCCGCCCACCTCCCTCCCCCGGGACCGAGGCCCGCGTTCCGGGTCCTCTCCCTCCCAGGCCGAGGTCAGAAGTCCACAGCACCCCAGATCAATAATTATCCCGTGTTTGCACCCGGGAGGGCGTCTCGGCCAGGGCTCCTACCGCTTACTACCCGGACAGACGGACGGACGGCGGGCAGGCGGAAAGCCTGCATGGACACAGCAGGAGTTCACAACCGCCCGCGCCCAACTGGATTCGTCCACTGCTCCAGGGTGAATTTATGGGGGAACGGGGCGTCTAGGGCCATTTCCCTCCCTGGGGAAACCTTGCTAGCTCCCACTAGTCAGGGCTGCAGGAGAGACTGCTCTGTCCAGGGTCACCTCGGAGGATCCAGGAGAAGGGAGTCTCTGAGATCCTTCCTGTGTCATGGGGAGAGGGTTGCGGTGTGTGAGAAGGCAGCCTGAGTCACCCACTCTTCTCCCCTCCAGCTACATCTCCAGAGCTGGCCCACAGTTTCCCTGGCAACCCTCCAAGGGCCAGCACCAAAGCAAGACATATCAAAGCTCCAGAAAGCCCGCTGCAGGGGGCAAAAGCGGGAGAAGGACCCCTTCCTTCCCAGCCCCACACACACACACAGAGCGCCCCTTCCCTATAGTCTCTTACAGGTTGTCCAGCTGAAAATTTTCATGTCCAACCAAGAGCTGCCAAGTTCTCCCATAGGCCTCCTTTGGCAGCTTTTCCCAGTAGCCTTCCCTTCACCTCCAGAATAACACCAGCCACAAAGGTCTTTGTGTCTGTAGCCGATCACAAAGCCCTTCTCCCCCACCAGGCTACTGCTCCTGTCCCACACTCTGGGCCAACATCTGGCACAGTGCTTTGCACAGAGTAGGTGCAGGCAGCTTGGAGGTGGGAGCAGTAAGCAGGAAGCTGGACAGATGCACCAGCCCCGAGCTCTCTGGCAACCCCTTGGACAGTCACTGCCCAAGATGTTTGGACGTTTGTGTACCGCATTTCTCTTTATTGTAAGCTTTCATTCCTGACACATGCTGTTCCCTCTGCCCAGAATGTCCTGCCTTCTCGCTGCCTGCCCTTCCACGACACTTGCTCCAAGCAGCATGAACCCCCGAGGGCAGGCACAATATCCCCACTCACCTTTAAATCCCCCCACCCATGCCCTGCCCAGAGCAGACACCCAATAATATTTATGGAACAAATCCTATGCTCTAGGAATGGAAAGGAAACTATAAGGACTATGTAGTTATTAAGAGTACAGGGTCTAAAACCAGACTCTCTTGATACCTTGAGCCCTGTGACCTCGAACAAGTTTTCTGCCTCTATCTTCTCATTTGTACTGTGGTGATAGTAATAGTACCTACCTCATTATATCATGAGAATTGAGTTAATACAAGTAAAGTGCCTCAAATGCTACAAAGCACTGTATAGCTGTTAACTATCATCATTGTTATTTTTAGTAACCTCTTCCTAAGACTGGCCAAGTTCTAGGACTCAATCCAACTACCAGGGCTGCTAGGTTAAGTGTCCTGATGGGTGGGGCGCATGTGCCTCTTTGTTCCTGCATCTCATAGCGTGTCCCTGACTGATCACTAGGCACCAATCTAGACCTGGCTGGCTGTGTGCACAGACATAGAGGACAGAATGTTCTGGATGACTATCTCAGCAAGACAGAATGTTGTCATCCCAGGACAGGGAGGAAGGTCCAACACCTACCTCTTTCTGCTTGACAATTCAGATAAAGTGAGACTCTCTTCTTCTGGGCCTCAGGGACATAATCCCCTAAGTTGAGGGGAAACCAGACTGATACGCGACACTGAAGGAGTCCTAGAGAGGAAGAAACTGGACAGGAAGCTAGGATCCTGAAAGACCCCTCAGAGATCCCAGAGAGAAAGATCCCGGGAGATACCTGGGGATGCAGAGATGTCCGCAGGAGGGTCTCATCTCTTATTCCACCCTGGCCTGACCCAGGAGAGAAACAGGCTTGAAGGATGAGCCTAGAAGTCCAGTCCACAGCCCTTGTCCCTACACACCCCTGCTGGCTACAGCCTCCTCCCCTCTCTCTCATGGATGAACATGTGGCTCCAACAGAGGGCAGCTCCCCCCTGTCACACCCTCCCTCATCCTGCCCCACCACAGGGAGATCATGAGGCCATTTTCTGGGAACATAATTGAAACCACAACCATGATTCCTTCTAGCCAGAGACCAGAGATCCACACTAATGTGGCTTCCCTCTGCAGACCTCTCGGGATCTCAGGAATCGGGCTGGCCCCAGGGAAGCACCGGCCACATGTTAGCCAAGGGAGGGCACATGTGAGGATGAGTCTTCCATATGGGGATAAGTCAGTACAGGCCCCTGGAGACAAGGGGAGGAGGCATGGGACACTCAACAGAGACCTCAGATCTCCAGGACCTCAGAATGGAGTTTTGTCACAGCTGGTGGTTTGGGAGGGGCTCTGTCATACCAAGCTTGCTTCTGCCAGGGCATGGGTGGTGAGAAGAGCCAAATTTTACAGTTAGATCTGGTTCCAAACTCCAGCTCTGCCAACTTACTAGCTGTGTGACCTTGGTCAAAGTACTTAATATCTCTCAGGGCCTCAGTTTCCCCTCATGTGTTAGAGTTAGGAGGTAAAGTATAACATATGTTTATAAATGCATAGACTCTGGGAGTGCACACCAGGCCCTAGGAACTGACGTTGACCCTCCCGAAGAGACCTGGCAGACAGGAAGAGGGAGAGACTAACTTTTCACCGTGTAGCCTTTTGAATCTTTTGCACCATGTGCATGTACCACCTATTAAATTGGATCTTTTGTGTTTGGTACCATGTGCATGTACCACCTATGAAAGCATTACTAAAATGGACATTTTTTTAAAAGGGAAAAGTAGAGAGAGTTTGTGAAAGCAACTAAGCACTGTGTCCGGCTTATGGAAGGCACTAGATAAAGGAGCATTTTCTCTCTTTCTTTCCCTCAGCCCAATCCCAGCCAGTTTGCTGGGCCAGGAGGAACGTCGAGGGGGGAGGTGGGGTGGGAATGTGAGCGAAGGATGTGCAGGTCCTTGCAGGACTCCCCACCTGCAGATCCTCACATGCTCCGCCCCCAGTCTTGCTCCCGTGTGCCTCACCTGTCTGGGCTCCCTTCCAGCAAGAGCTAAATGGTTGGTCTCTAAAAAGCCTGAGGATCCCCCCACAACCCCACCTCCTGGGACAGGGTCACCATGTCCTCTCCACCCAGAGTCCTGGGGCGATGTAGCATCATCCAGGGAGGACAGGGCTGGTGAGAACAGAGTGCCACTCCAGCCAGTGTCTTGCTGGCTTCCCAGGCAGGTTAAGAACTCAAAGGTCAGCTCGGGGCCGGGTGCGGTGGCTCACGCCTGTAATCCTAGCACTCTGGGAGGCCGAGGCGGGCAGATTGTTTGAGCTCAGGAGTTCGAAACCAGCCTGAGCAAGAGCGAGACCCCATCTCTACTAAAAATAGAAAGAAATTAATCAGACAACTAAAAATATATAGAAAAAATTAGCCGGGCATGGTGGCACATGCCTGTAGTCCCAGCTACTCGGGAGGCTGAGGCAGAAGGATCGCTCGAGCCCAGGAGTGTGAGGTTGCTGTGAGCTAGGCTGACGCCACGACACTCTAGCCCAGGCAACACAGTGAGACTCTGTCTCAAAAAAAAAAAAAAAAGTCAGCTGGGCTCCAGGCAAAGATGAGGCTGTCTGGGCGGAGAAGCAGGTCAGTAGGATCAGGCGAGGCCAGGGCAGCAGCGCAGAGAGCCTTCTGGGTGCCATGGGTTGTGGTCAGTGAAAAGGAGTCTGCCCTGAACTGTCAGAGCTCTGGGAAGCCCTGGAGGGTTTTAGGGACCTTCATTAATCCAAAAATATTTATGAAATTTCTATTACAAACAAGCAGTAGGACACTGTCCTTTAGGCAACTATTAACAGTTAACTCCATAAGGAGGGGCCTGCAATACAGATGGGACTGAGGGCAGAAGAGAAAACACCTGGCTCTGCTGGCCAATGTCCCTGAGCACCTGCTATGTGCCAGGCACTAAGTCTTAACAGTAATCCTGGCAGTGTCCACCTTTTACAAATGATGATGCTCAGTTCAGAGAGGCAGATTCATTCATCCAAGATCACACAGCACAGCTAGGGTTTGCACCTAATGACTCCAAAGCCCTTGTGTTTTCCTCTAGGCCACATTGGCCCTATGAAAGACAGGAGGATTTCGCCAGGTGGCCGAGGGAGGGATGACCTTTCAGGTAGGTGGGATGGAGGAGTAAAGGCTGGGAGTCGAGAGGCCAGCGTGAGGGGGAGGTGCGTGGGACCGGGTGAAGGGAAGGCCAGTGCTGGGGGCCACTCTCCGCAGCAAACGGAGACCAGGCCGCTGGCAGAAAGGAGGGCATGAGCCCTGGCCCAGTCTTCATTTTGACTCATATCCTCCACTTGCTCCTGGGGCTGGGGGGGCCCGTTTTTGAGGCTTAGAGCATGGAAGATGTGGGTGGGTCTGAGACTTAAGAAACCAGGGAATGATGAAAAACAGAGATGTGAGGAAAGAACCCCCTCCAGTTCAAAGGAAAGTGGCAGAGTGCCGGGGGACGGCGCGGGGCGGGGGAGAGATGGGCAGCCCTCTCCCACACACCCCCAGAGGGCTTGAGGTCGGTAGGGGGCTGGCCAAGGCACAAAAGATTTCTTGTTGGCTGGAAGAAGGAGAAACTAGCTTAGCAGGAAGAGGGGACTGACAGTCATCATGGATGAGGATGACAGCCCCGGCCCAGGGCTGCTCAGGACAGCGGCCAGTCCCACGCGCTGGCTGGCTCTGCTTGTCCACCCTCTGCTCCCCCCTCCACCCCCGGCTCCTGGGCCTGCCTTGCTATGAGAGGGGCTGCAAAGGGTGGGCTCCTGCTGCCCACCTGGCTGGCCAGGCAGTGTGCCCCCAGCACAGACCCCGCACCCTCCTCTCTTTGTCCAGAGAGAACCCCACCTGCAAGCCTCTCCCCCAAGGCAGGTGGGCAGAGGAGGCAGGATTCCCCCTCCCACCCACCCTGTCCAGTCCCACACCCCTCCCCTCACGCTATTCCCAGAAACGGAGGACAGTCACTATGCCTCAGGCAGGATGGCCTTGTGTTCTCTTGGTGACTTCACTGTAAATTGACTTCCCTGAAGAGTGGTAGAGGACAGGGGACAGAGGTGGGGACAGGCTTCACCCTGATCTAGCAGCTCCTTCCCCTCCCCCAAATTTACACAGAATTCCTCTCCATGTGCACACACACCCCCTCCCTAGGTCCTGCTCTGTCTTCACGGACAAGAATGGGGGCAGCGTTTCTATGGGGAGGTGCTAGGGTCTGGTCTCAGAGGTAGTGTGTACTCTGAGCACGGGCCTGTGGCCCCACTACTAGGAGCCTTGGGGGTGGGGGCTGGATGGAGGTAAACACCCAAGCAAAGGCAGGTGGGGTGAAGCAGGATGTTTAAGGGCCCTAGGGCTTCAGCTCTCCCCTCTCTGCCACAGGCGAAGAGATACTTCCTGGAAAGCCTCCAGCTTTCTTGGGAAGGCCCTTCACCCCCACCTCACCTCCCTCTGGCTCCCACACAACAGGAACTCTCCTTGAAGAAGGGACTTGGAGCAGGAGAAACAAAGGCATCTCTGTACCACCTCCCTCCACCCCCCAGGGAAGGTCAGGTCAAGGTGACCTCTACCTGTTCTTCCCAGGGTAGGGGCATCTGCAGACCTGGTCTCCAAGGGCAGGGCAGAAAAGGGATTTGGGATAATTCTTCTCTTTGTCCATAAACTCAAACGCACCTTCATACAGGTCACACTGCCTCATTCAGTAGAGCAGGGGCATAGGCTGGCATGGGGGTGGAGGAGCCATGTTCCACACCATGGAACAACTGTGGCTAGCCCAACCAAAGGAGACCTCTGCAGGGGTGTGCTGGGGTTGGGGAAGTTTAGAAAGGTTGTACTAAGTCCCTGCCCAAGACCAGAGCAACTTGGATCCTGGTGCCAGCTGTGCCCTTACTGGCCAAACAGCTTTAGCCAGGTCTCTTTCCTGCACTAACCCAAGGGGCTGATTCTGGTCCTGATTGCCTTCAAGGTTGTTGAAAGGACCAGTTGAGTAGAGGAGTGCAACCATGTTTGTATACAAATATGCCCTGATTCAGTTCAGGATATGTATATAGCGTGTTACCTGCAGACTAGGCTGTGGATTAGCATTATTCCCAATAAAATATGGTCAATCATCTTTTGGGGAATATGTTCCTGTAAGTTTTTTTTTAATCCTTCTTCACTCCCCACTTAATACTATGACTTAGAATTGGGGGTGAAGGGGAGTAGGGGCAAGGAGGCCGGCCTGGGACCCCAGCTCAGCCAGACCCTAGGCAGTTTCTGATCTTCTTGTACTCCATCCCTGGGCCTGTTTTCTCCTCTGTAGCCTGGTCCCCAAAAACCACCAGGGTGCTTTGTGGTGGAAAATAGCAGAGACCAAAACAGGGGACTGAAAGCAAAGAAACCCCAAATTTGACATTTCCGGGTAGTAGTGTTATCCGGAGCCATGACCACAGTCACCTCTGCTCCCAACCCAACTCTGACACCCATCCCTCCTCCAAGGGTGCCCTTTGCCCATCCTGGGAAAGCTTCACAACTCCTCCCCTTCCCCACTGCAGTCTCAAAGGGAGAATAAGCACAAAGAAATGGAGAGAAACCTAGGCAGAATCAAACAGAGAACCAGACAGAGACCCAGAGAGAAAGAATCAAAGCAAGAGGGCGCAGTGGCTCACGCCTGTAATCCTAGCTCTCTGGGAGGCCGAGGCGGGCGGATTGTTTGAGCTCAGGAGTTCGAAACCAGCCTGAGCAAGAGCGAGACCCACGTCTCTACTAAAAATAGAAAGAAATTAACTGGACAACCAAAAATACATAGAAAAAATTAGCCGGGCATGGTGGCGCATGCCTGTAGTCCCAGCTGCTTGGGAGGCTGAGGCAGAAGGATTGCTTGAGCCCAGGAGTTTGAGGTTGCTGTGAGCTAGGATGACGCCATGGCACTCTAGCCTAGGCAACACAGTGGGACTCTGTCTCAAAAAAAAAAACAAAAAAAACAAAGCAAGAGGAGGGGACGTGCCATGAAAGACATGGGGATTCAGGGCTGTACGCACAGAGACCGAATGTGGGAGATCCAGCAGTTGGCCCAGGGAGCAGCGCTGGACACAAGGTGAGGGTTGGGGGCACAGGAAGGCTCTGAAGACACTGACACACACCCTATAAGGCCAACCCTTCCGGTTCTGTTCACCGGCACCTCAATGCTAGATTTGTAGGACCCAAAACTACCCACACCCTAGCCAAGCCAAACCCAACCCAGCCAGATGTTGGTGGGTGGGGCTGCCCACTGGAGCAGCAGGCCCCTGCAGGCCCTGGGGGAGGAGTCTGGAGAGGCGGCTGCCTGGAAGGGGGCAGGCAGGGCCCCCACTCTTAAGTGGATGTCCTATACCACCCCAACTCCCAGATGCCCAGATGGGAGTGCGTGGCCAAGGTGGTCCTCTGCCCTCCAGACCTGGCTAACAGGACTTGGAAATGCAAGGAATTTGCTCCCATCAACTGATTTCCACATCTGTCCGAAGGTTGGAGGGCACACGTGCCAAGTGTGGCCCACCCATCATGTGGCAATGAGTTTGGATCTGCCACTGACAGACTGTGTGACACTGGCCAAGTCACTTCCCCTCCCTGGCCTTTGTCTTCCCATTTGTAAAATCACCTTCATGGTCACTTCCAGCTCTGACACTTGACTCTTATTCCAGGTGAGCCCCTAGCTCTGTGTCTGACCCTCCCCTGCCCAATCCATTTCACAAAACAGGGGAAGCGGGGCAGGGACTCTGCTTCCTCTTCTCAGCCCCTGCGGAGCAGCTGGGAAGCAAGGCTTCCCTAAATGCTACACACACCCCCTTACAGTTTTCAATTCCTTCCCTCGTGATCCTGCCAACTAAGACACTGTGACCACACATGGAAGGTGGGGAGAACCCAGGCATTCCAGCTACTGCAGCTTTAAACTTCATTTATTCTCTGAAGGTGTGGGGGAATGGAGAGAAAAGGGCAGATCCAAGCAGGAATTGTGGGGGAAGGGAGGGAGGCAGATGAGAATGATTCCCCCCAGGACATGCCATCTTGGCCCCGCTGGGCTGAGTGGGCAGCAGGGCTGGCCCGTCCTCTGGTGCTGCCAATACCAGCTGCCAGGCAGGGGGGAAGGCCCAGAGGAGAGGGACGCTGGGCAAAGGGAATGGGAGGCTGCCAGCCTGGCCTTACTCAACTTCTTGGGCCTTGTGGTGGTGGTGGGGGCTCTTGGGGAGGGGACTGTGACCCAGGCAAGGCTCCAGGGAGGATGTTCACTGCTGTGGCAAGGCCTATAGGCCATAGTGAGGCTGGGAGGATTCAAGACAGCCCCTCCCTGGACTTTTCTGAAGGTAGGATCAGCCTCAGATGCCACTGCGCGGGGGCACATGGAGGAGCTGGACAGTTTATGGGCCATAGTCTGTTGGCTAGGCTGAGTGCCCAATTTGTGGCCCTGGGCAAGCCCTTTCCTCTCCCTGGACTTCCATTCCTTACCTGCAAAATTGTGGAGGGGGCAGAGAGGTTGACATATGACTGCCAAGGTTCTTTCCTGTTCCTCCTGACAGGTGATTTTAGGTGGTGGGAGGAATGGAAGGAGGGAGGTGGGTGTGCGAGGTGAGCTTGGCTTCTCTGAGATCCCCAGCCCTTCCACTCCCTAGGGCTTTGCCTCCCAGGTCACAAAAGCTGTGGCCCCCAACCCACATAAACACACACACGCATTTACTTTCTAAATCTGGAGACTCGAAAGATGACACACGCTAGAGCTGGAAGGCTTCTGCAAGGAGTGCACCCTTCCCTCCGCCCTCCTAACACATGGGAAAACTGAGGCCCTGGTTTGGGATTTCCCGGCCCTCCCACTCCACACACCACCCCCTCCCCCGGCCTCTTGCCCTCCTCCGTCCTGGGACGCTTCCGCGGAGCCGCAGGCGAGCGCAGGCTGGGACTCCCGGGGGACCCCGCCGTCGGGGCAGCCCCTTCGCCCGGCGCCGCCCTGCCTCGCGGCCCGCCCGGCGCGGCCGCCGCTGCTGCGCACTTGCCCGGGAGCCAGCGACCGAGGGCGGAGGCGGGGAGGGAGCGACTGAGGCTGGGAGGGGTGTTGGCGAGCGCTTCGCGCGCTGTGTATGGTCTATCGGAGGCAGCTGACCTTTGAGGAGGAAATCGCTGCTCTCTGCTCCTTCCTGTAGTAACAGCCGCCGCCGCCGCCGCCAGGAGCCCGGGCCGGGAGCGAGAGCCGCGGCGCGCAGAGCCGGCCCGGCTGCCGGACCGCTCGGCCCCACCAGGTGGGTGGCGGCGCGGTGCGTCCCCGGGCGGCGCGTGGAGAGGGGACACTCGACTCCCACCCCTGCGCCGCGCCCCAGCGCCCTGACACCCCTGCACCCCGGAGCCCGACGGCCGGGCGCAGGGCAGGGATCAGTCCCCCGGGGCCGAGGAGGGAGTTTCGGCGCAGCACGGGCGAAGGACGAGGGACGCGGGAAGAGGGACGGGGATGAAGGGAGGCGGCCAAGAGTGGTCGCCGTCCCTGTGCGCAGTGGAGAGAGGGCGCTGTCGTGCTGGACCGGGGAGACGCTGGAGCACAGCTGGGGGGCGCAGCTGGAAGGGGTGGCGTCGACCCCCCCAACCCTGTCTTCAACAGCCCCAGCCACGTGCCTGAGAGGGCCAAGCCGGCAAGTGGGCGCCTTCGCTGCGTTGCCCTAACTTTGGGCTGGAAGATCTCCCCTTCCCAGAAACTGACTCGGTATCCTAGGCAGGGTGGTGGGATTCTTGCAGCCCTCTCCAGAGGGCCTGTGGGCCTCCACTGTCAAGTTTCTCTTTCATTTTCTAGCCTCCCCGCCCCCTCTCCCCGGGAAGCCCCGTGGGGCGAGGAGAGAGGAAGACAGGGAGGGCACCTGCCTCTCCAGAGCCCCCCCTCCGCCCCAGCTTCAGCGGGTTCCTTGTTGGAGGAGATGGGTGCCCTTCCCTTCCTCCCCATCCTCGTTCCCGCACAGGAAAGCGTGTCTGCGGGAGGGGAGGAGCCTGGCCTGACCGTGCTCCAGGGATGGGTGGACATGGCAGGGCCTCTGCCCAGGAGGTGCCTCTTCAGCCCTCTGCTCGCCCTAGGTGAACGGCCATGGCGGGCTGGATTCAGGCCCAGCAGCTTCAGGGAGATGCGCTGCGCCAGATGCAGGTGCTGTACGGGCAGCACTTCCCCATCGAGGTCCGGCACTACTTGGCACAGTGGATTGAGAGCCAGCCATGGTATACGCCCCCTGCCCTGCGCCCTCCTCTGCAGGTCCCTACTGTCCGGGCCCCTTGGCCTCTAGTTCTACTCATTATGGTTTGGTGTGACTCTGGTCCTATCTGTCTTCTGTGCCCAAGGGGCGGTGTCCCTGGGAAAGGGGAAGAGGGAAATGGGAGCCTGGGAGGACAGAGAGAATGTTTCTAGACTTTGAAGCCTGTGGAGTTGCCAGGAACAAGTCTTATGGGCCCTGGACTGCCCTTAGTCACGAGCCTGGGATTTCCACTTCACTCTTGCTGCCTGACCTTTTTAACCAAGGAGGTGCCACAGCAGATTTCCCTCTCCTGCCCTGCCCCAAGGGATGCCATTGACCTGGACAATCCCCAGGACCAAGCCCAGGCCACCCAGCTCCTGGAGGGCCTGGTGCAAGAGCTGCAGAAGAAGGCGGAGCACCAGGTGGGGGAAGATGGGTTTCTACTGAAGATCAAGCTGGGGCACTACGCCACGCAGCTCCAGGTGGGTGTGGACTCGGGGCCACCTGCTGGGAGGCAGCGTCTGCTCTTCTCCTTCCAGCATCAGAACCCCTGGGTTTTTTCCTGGCCTGGCCACTGACTCACCATATGACCATGAGCTTATTGGCAACTTTTCTTCAATTTCCCCCGCCCCCTCTTTCTAAATCAGACCTGTCCTTTAGCATATTACCAAGCAAGGGTGGGCGGTGGTTGTTCCCAGCAGAAGGTGGATGGGCGAACTGGCATTATGGACAGATGAGGCAGAAGGGATGGAGGTAGACTGAGTCAGGGTTCCTTTGTTGGAGAAAGGAAGACTGGCAGATTCTAGAAATGAGGGAAGGGGCAACCAGACCTCCCTCTTGGGCTCTTTTAAAGGCAGGAGGGGAGCAGAGCTAAGAGCTGGACACAAGGGCTTGAATTAAGGGTTTAGAAATAGGATGTAGCTTCTCCTTTACATGGGGGAGGGGAGCGTGGAGGAAGAGAGGGAGTTTTGTGGAAGCAGGAAAGGGGTGTGGGTGGTAATCAGAGTCAAGCATTTATTGGAACTCACTTGTGTTTCGTAGAGAGCCCTTCTTAGACACAAACATCAGAGTGCTAGGGAAATAAAGTCCATCCCAGAAGAGGGAGGAAACAGGATAAGCCTGAGGCGAAGCCAAATAGGAGCCCAGGGTCAGGGATATAGTAGAAACTATGTTGACCTTGGCCTCAGATGCCCTGAGTCTAAAGTCATCTAGCTGACTTACTTGGTTGTCTCTGGACAAATACATAACCTCTCTGAGCGCCAGTTTTCTCATCTGTGAAGCAGGGATTATAGTTTCTGCGTATGTCATGGGGTTTCCATGCCGTGAGAGTCAGAGGAGATGATAGATTGGAAGTGCTTTGTAAACTGTGGGTTTCTGATTCACTGCAAACCAAATATGAAGATCTGGGAGGGAAAGTCGAGGAAAGAAGAGATAGAGGTGTCCCTCAGCCTTCCTCTGAGGCTCCCTGGGGAAAGCTGAGGCAGAGGCTGAGGGAGAAGAAGGGGTGGGCGTGACATGGGGACAGGCATGGCCGGGGCAGAGGGTGGCCACTGGGATCTGCTCTTGGGCTCTTTCAGAACACGTATGACCGCTGCCCCATGGAGCTGGTCCGTTGCATCCGGCACATTCTGTACAATGAACAGAGGCTGGTCCGAGAAGCCAACAATGTGAGTGTCCTGTGGGTGTGGGGAGAGGAGTTGGGAGGTTTTTCCATATGCCTTTCTGTCCAGATACAACTGTGTTTGCATAAAACACTGTCATGAGGAGAGCACCAAAGAAATAGAGGCCAGGAGCAAGTGTCAGAGGCAGCATTACATGCTGGTGTGGAGTGACCCCCTGGGTCCAGTCCCACTTACTAGCTGTGTGACTTGAGCAAGTTACTTAAGCTCTCTGAATCTCTATTTCTTCTATTGCGAAAAGGGGCTAGTAATAGTACCTACCTTATAGGGTTACTATGAGGATTAAATGAGATACTATGTGGGCCAAGGATAGACAAACCGACCAACCGAATAGAAAAGCAGACCCTAAACACACGCATACGCGCACACATGCACACACATACAGACACACTCCTGGAAACTCCATCTGTGTCAGAGATGGCATTACTGGTCACCAGAGGAAAAGATTTGACATTCAATCAATGGGGCTGAGGCCAAACTAAGAAATGTACTCTGGTAGTATCCGCAAGCAGAAACAGCCTAGGAACTGAGGGAGGCGGACTCAGACAGGTGAGGCCCAGGGAGGGGGAACAGGACTCATCTCTCAAGTTCTGAAATCATGAAGGCGTTGAACATCTGCGTGGACATTGGAACAAGTGATGTATCATCTGCAATAAAGCAAACTGAATTTCATACAGTGGTGTAACAGTTAAAAATCTTAGAATAGTGCCTAGAGCACCATTTATTATTTTTTTATTATTTATTTATTTTTATTGTTGTGGACACTGATTTCAGGAACTTTACAGTTCGCTCAGTAAATCTTTGTTGAGGTCCTACTGTGTGTCTGATAATGGATTAGGACTAGAGAAACAGATACAGGCCTGGTCCCTGCCCAGAAGGAATTCTGGCGATGATAGATTCTCTAGAGGTGAGCTGAGTGCTAAGGTGGCATATGCGGGAAAGTACTTAACTCAGACTGGGGCCTGCGGGCAGAGGACTGTCCTGAGGACCGGGACATCCGAACTACAGTGGGGAAAGAGGGAGGGAAGGAGAAGGGATGAGTTTTCTAGTCAAAAGTGACAACAGGCCGGGCGCAGTGGCACATACCTGTAATCCCAGCTACTTGGGAGGCTGAGGCAGAAGGATCCCTTGAGCCCAGGAGTACAAGTCCAGCCGCGGCAACATAGTGAGACCCTGTCTCTTACAAAATAATGATAATGACAACAGCATAGTGAGGGTGGGAAGGCATGAGCCATCTTATCACATTTGAAGACTTGCAAGTAGTAAGAGTAACCAGGGTGAAGGAGCCAACTGCAGAGTTGCAATAGATAAAAATAGATAGGGGGGCAGAAGCCAGGTCACAAAGAGTCTTCCAGCAGAACGCCTGTGTCCCTGACTTCCTGCGGTCACAGAGCTCCCTGCAAACGTACAAGCAGATTCAGCCCTGATTGAGAAATACATGTTCATGGTGCCGGTGTTGTCTTGGCCTGGGGAACCATTCCTTCTCCCAGCCAGAAAGCTGTTCTTGAACACCCTGATGTGCTAGACCTTGGGGATTCTGTGCTGCCTGGGACAGACAAGGTCTGAGCACTTGAGGGCCTCACATCCTCGTGCAGGGAGACAGACCAGAAACAAGTAAACAAGTAGGAGAACAAGACACTTTCAGATAAGAGCAGTACTACTGTGAATTGGCCCATCAGAGAAAGCCCCTCTGAAAAGGTACCAGTTCAAGTGCTTGCCTTGGGAGGATTTGGTGCCAGAATGTTCCAGACTGTTGGAACAACAAGTGCAAAGGCCCCGAGGCAGGAACATGCCTGTGTGTTCAAGGAATAGAAACAGAAAGCACACATAGCTGGTGAGCTTGGGCAGCAGGGAAGCCGGAGGTGGAAGCAGGCAGGGGCCACCAGCCAGGCCCGCAGATGCTGTCGGAAGGAGTTTGCCTTTTATTCTGTGAACAGTTCATTGGAAAGTCCCCTCTCAGCCAGGTGTTGAAGGAACGGCTAGATCCAAGGAGGTCTTGTTGATACCTCCCCTGTCACTTCATTTTTGGGTCTACAAGGCACCTGTGAGAGGTTCTGCCTCTTCCCACTTCCTAAGTTATAAGGAGGTCTTGGGTGAGGATGCAGATGACATATGTTCATGCAGCCCTGTCCCCTCCACTTCCCCAGAACCTACCACGGTCGTGGCCCTGGGTCAGTGAATGGATGTGGGATGAGGGGTCGTCATCTTTAGTAGGGAAACCCATGGGACACCTGGGACGTGTCAAGCACTAGTTGTTCTGTGGGAAATTAAATGGACCCTGTTTGGAATACTCTAGTGGAGCCCAGATCTGAAATGGAAGTTTGTACCCTGAAGGTGCCATTATCTGCAAGATCACTTGTTTTTGCTCCCTCTTTTCCCTTTCCACCCCAATTCTGGCCAGTGACTATCCTTCTGACTCAGAGAACCCTCCCTTCTCACCCTAGATTTGGAGTTTGGGGTCTGTAGTATCAGCGCTCCCCAAAGCCTGAGGTTTTCTCGCATCCTCGCTGCCCCTCGTGACTGCAGCTCTGTCTGTCTCCAGTGCAGCTCCCCTGCTGGGATCCTGGTTGACGCCATGTCCCAGAAACACCTTCAGATCAACCAGACGTTTGAGGAGCTGCGACTGGTCACGCAGGACACAGAGAATGAGCTGAAGAAGCTGCAGCAGACACAGGAGTACTTCATCATCCAGTACCAGGAGAGCCTGAGGATCCAGGGTGAGGTGGGGCGGCGGCTGCTGTGTAGGAGTGAGGAACATTCCTTGAGCTCCTGTGGGGCTGGGGCACTAGCCATCTCCTCAACATCTTGCCCAAAGCCAGGTGGAAGGAATGGCTCCTGGAGATTGAGCCCCTGCCATGGGCCAGACTCTAGGCTAAGCCCTTTGCATTCATTATTTAATGCAACCCTCACAACAAGCATATGAAGTGGATAGTTTATGTTATCCCCACTTTGCAGATGGTAACACTGAGGTTCAAAGAGAACAAATAACTTGGCCTAGGTTGCCTGCAAATTGCAGAACTGGATCTCAGCTAGAGATATGTCATAAAATCCCTGTACTATACTAACCAATATTCTCTGCTTAATTGTGGGTATTTAGTGAATATGTGAACAAATGAATAAATATGGGCAAAGTGTTTCCTAACTCAAGGGGTTGGACTCCCTAATTTGGGCTGGGAGTCTCGTGGTTGAACCAGGCTGGGGAGAGGTGGAACTCCAGGAGTGCACCTTCTTGAGCCTCACAGATAGGATAGACTTGGGGGACAAGGTGATAGTGGAAAATTCTATATCCTAGGTCTGTAGTTTGCCAATAGTTGTAAGGTTGATAAGGGTGTGAGGATAGAAAAAATTCCCTCAGAAGGAATTAACCCCAGGTATAATTTGAGGATCTCAAGACATGGCCTATCTCCTTCCCCCTCCAGGCTGACCCCAGAGATATATCACCCCATCCTAGTGACAATAAGAAGTGTCAAATTGCCTTTTCCTTTGCCCTTTTTCATCTGGTTTCTCAAGGTAGAATCTTAGATCATTGATTTTAGACCTTTCTTCTTTTCTAATATCTATATTCAAAGCTATAAATTTCCCTCTAAGCACTGCTTTAGCTACATCGCATAAATTTGGAAATGCTGTATGTGATCATTCACTTTGAAGTATTTTTTAATTTCTCTTGTGATCAATTCTTTTACCCATATGTTATTTAAAAATGTGTTTAATTTCTGTTTTTTTCTAGATGGCATATTGTTATTGGTTTTAATATTGTTATTGAATTCTGTGATCAGAGAACATACATTGTATGGTCTCAGTTCTTATAAATTTCTTGAGACTTGTTTTGTGGCCCAGCACATGCTCTATCTTGGTGAAAACATGCGCTTGGAGAGAATGTATGTTCTGTAGTTATTTCATTCAAAAAATCAATAATAAATTCAATAATGTGAACATAAAAGGTAAAGTTTTACAAAAAACAAACAAACACAACATCTATTCATCTATTTTAGGCTACTTTCCAAAACAGAACTTAGTGAATAGAGTGGCCTTGCTTTACATATTTGCAAATCTCTTTAATGTTAGGCTTAATAAGAGATAGCTGGATCTTGCTTTCAAAGTGTTGTAGTATTACACATCTTATAGTCTCTGGAAAACTCCGTTGGATACTTATATGATAGTAAGAGTGAAAGAGGCAAATAAGGTTTTTTTTTTTTTTTTTTTTTTGAGACAGAGTCTCACTCTGTTGCCCGGGCTAGAGTGCCATGGCTTCAGCCTAGCTGACAGCAACCTCAAACTCCTGGGCTTAAGCGATCCTTCTGCCTCAGCCTCCCGAGTAGCTGGGACTACAGGCATGCGCCACCATGCCCAGCTAATTTTTTGTATATATATATTTTTAGTTGTCCAGATAATTTCTTTCTATTTTTAGTAGAGACGGGGTCTTGCTCTTGCTCAGGCTGGCCTCGAACTCCTGACCTTGACTGATCCACCTGCCTTGGCCTCCCAGAATGCTAGTATTACAGGCGTGAGCCACCACACCCGGCCGCAAATAAGGTCTTATGAAAATAGTTTTGATTTCGTGGGACTCCTATAAGGGTCTTAGGAACCCTCCAGGGATCTCTGGTCTATACTTTGAAAACCACAAATCTGTGTCTTTGTTGATTTTTTTTTCCTAATTGCTTTGTCTGTTGCTAGAAGAGAGGTATCAAAATCTTCTATTATTATTGTGAAACTGTCTACTGCTCCAATTCTGTAAATATTTTCTTTACGTATTTTGAAGCTTCGCTATTAGATGTATCCACATTTATAATTATTTTGACTGTCTTATCAATTGACATCATAATCATACAAAATGTCTATCCTAATCTATATAATACTCTTTGTCTTGAAATCTACTTTATTAGATATTAATATAACTACCTCAGCCTTCTTATTTTCCATTTTGTGTGATATATCTTCATGCTTCTTTAAAAATTTTAAAATGTAGTTAGCATATATTTGAGTCTTGCTTTGTATTTATTCTGACAGTCACTGCTTTTAACTCAGATGTTTAGTCCATTAACATTTAATGTATTAACTAATATGATTATATTGAGGCCTGCCTTTTTAATATTTATTTTCCGTTGTGTTCGTTTTTGATTTTTGTTCTTCCTTTTTTGCCTTTCTTCAATCACTTAAATTTGTTTTCAAGTTCCATTTTTATTTAACTATTTAAGGTCTTTTCTTAACCCTGCCCTGTCAGTGCTTTCTGTACCCCGTGATGAGCACAATGCCTTAAACATCGTAGGTATTCAGTAAATATTGGCAGGATGATTCTAGCATGTCTTCCTCCCATCTGAATTCACCCCAGACTGACCTCAGGAAAAGGGCAGCCCCTTCTCTGGGTGGGAATAGGAGATTTCATTATTTCTACCCAAGTCCTTTGACTGTTGACAGTATTTCTGATCGTGTACTTGGTTTTCTGTTTTTTGTGCGTGGGATTCGGTTGGATTCTGGTTTGGGTCTGTAACGTCATG